TGTCTGTTTTAGTTACTTTCCTTAAGCACACATTAAGCATACAGGTGGCTAGGTAATGTCTTATTTCTGTAACTAATTTTCAGTCTGACTGTAACTGGTTTTAACTTAGTAAAATGTTTGAAACTTAGCACAGCTGAACTTAAAACTGTATAGAGCTACCTTATATTTCTTAAACAGTAGCTTAACTTCTTTTTGAGGCAGGGTTTTTCTGTGACTTTGGAGCCTGTCCTGAATTCGATCTGTGACCAGGCTGGCCTTGAACTCATAAAGATCCATCCGCCTCTGTCTCCGAGTGGGTGTGATTAAAGGTGTGAGCCACCACTGCCTGCCTTAAAAATTCTTAATTTTAAAACAATAATTTTAAGTGGATTCTAAAATTACTATTTGTATTTATACAAACCACAATTTATACAACCAATTTGTTTTGTTTGTTGAGGCAAAATCTTTCTACTTAGCCTACGCTGCCCTCCAACTTGCAATCCTTCTGCCTCAGACTTCTAAGTATTTGGATTACAGACATGCACCCATAGCAGCTTTGTCCACAGTCTCGGCCAGGTTCTGGCAGGCGGCAGGTATCACATCTGAGCATCTCGCTCACTGGTCCAGGTGTAGGAACTGAGGTGCCTCGTAATCTTCTTTGGAGACTTTGGGTCACTGTCAGGATCTGGCAGTCTGTCTGACATGATAACTTTAAAGACAACAATTTAAATGGCATATTCTGAAGATCTCTGAAGCATTAGAGGTCTGTTTGTCTGTTTTAGTTACTTTCCTTTGAGGCAGGGTTTTTCTGTGACTTTGGAGCCTGTCCTGGAATTCGATCTGCCGGACCAGGCAGGCCTTGAACTCATAAAGATCCATCTGCCTCTTACTCCCGAGTGCTGGGATTAAAGGTATATGCCATCAACGCCCTAAACTTAAAGGTGTGTGCCATCAACACCCTGAGCTTAAAGGTGTGTGCTACCAACACCCTAAACTTAATTTTTGAAAACATAAACTGTAACATCTTATAATAGATCAGCATCTTTCACAAAACAAGGACTTTACATTGTCAGGCTTTGCTTAAAAATAATTCTAAATTGAAGCTCTTTAAGTACAAACATTAATAAAAACAAACATTTAAAAAAACTGGTTTTAAAAAGAAATTTAAATTCCCTTAAGGTCTTTCTGTAATATATAGAAGCATTAACATTTTAAATCTTAACTGAAAAACTTGTTTCTAAGATGGTACCTCTAATTCCCATGCAGTCACCTTTAGTCAAGATGGCGGTTTAAGTATCCTTTTTTTCAACTTTAGCAAAATGGCTACAAGGCAGCCATGTGACCAGTTTGCCATGTGCCTGGTTACAAAATGGCCGTAACTTGCAGCCTTTGCTTAACATGCTTGAGGTTATACCAGGAAATAGAACATTTTAAAACAAGTATACATAAATTACTTGAGAAATAAACAGGACTTTAAAAAATAGAATTAGCTTAATATGGTTAAAATTTTAACTTATATTACCAATTTTAAAATTTACTATTTGTAAACATGAGAAACCATAACAGTTTATAGTTTACATTTTTCTCTGACATGCAACAACCTTTTCTATGACCTTCTATGATTTGCTTTAACTCTCTATACCCTTTTAGTTCATTTCTCTGACTTTCTAAGACATTCTTAGACAAGTTTTCTTTTTTCCTTTCCCTCTTTATTACTTAGGTCTCCTACATGTTTTTTCATTCCTCAGTCAACATAAAAATTTTTATCAAAGTCCCTTTTACAGTTCTTAATAACTTTAAGGCCTTTTTTTTAAAGAAGTTTGGATCAGGCCAGATAAGTTCATACATCCCAGCTCCATGTGCTCAAGGTAGAGAGACCTGGGGTGGGGGTGCTGCTGGTAACCCCAGACCCTTGGCCAATCCAGGGGTGGGAAAAAGACCCCTGCGGGCCCCCTGCTACCATGTGTGTGGAGCACAGAAAGACGGGAAAGAATAGACGCCAACCCAATCCGTCCAGGCTGCTTATAAAGCAATGGCACCGGGAAGACAGGCAGTAGAACCTCGCCACTAAATGAGGTGGGTCCAAGTGTCCTTGGCCCGTGTCCATACTCCTGGGTCTTGGGTGTCCTCAGAGCCGCAGTCTGTCCTCCTGGTGTATCTGCCGATCACAGTTGAGGTGGCGCCACGTGCACAGAGCATCAAGAAAAGACCCCTGACCCCCTGACCCATGCATGCCATGTGCGTGGGCAGTAGGGACAGAAAGAGATGCTTAACAAACACACAACACAACTAAGGAACGTGGACAGATATTAGACAGGACAAACCAAGGCAAAGAAATGGTCCCCCAAACCAAAATTACAAACAACCCTTGGACTTTCGTCCAGGGCAGAACCAAGAATTCCAGAGACACGTCTGTTTCTGGGCCCGGGAGTCTGCTTACCCTATGGTTCAAATCAAACGACCCTCGGACTTTCGTCCAGGGCGGGACTTCAGGCTCTCGAAACACGTCTATTTCCCCTTGAAGTCCAAATTCCAAATTGGCACCAAACCAACAAAACAGCAAGAGACATAACATATAACATTGAACAGATAAGTTGCGAGCTCGAATCATCTTACCTCCAAGATCGAATCCAC